AAAAAAAAAAAAGAAAAAAAAACCTTCTTCAATATGATAATCTAAAAACACCAACGAAAAAAGATTGTCAGAATAGATAAATAAAATCCTAACCCAACTTTATGCCATGTATACAATAAGCTCACTTCAAATATACTCGTACAAGTAGACAGGTTGAAAGCAAAAGGGGAAAAAGATGGAGCCAGGCCAGCGCTGGCCGAAAGGAAGCCGGGGTGGCTACGTCAGCAGCAGACACAGCTGGCCTCAGAGCAAGGAGCTTACGGAGAGAGAGAAAAGAGGTGTCAGCTCCCCAAGGGGCAAGAACAACCCTAAATATGTACGCACCCAGCCAAAAAGCTTCCCATTACTCCAGGCAAAAACTGACAGAGCTGGAAGGACAAATGCCATAGCCACCCATGAACATCAGTGTCATTTTCCGCAATTTCAATCACCTGAGGTCAACTACCCTCAAAAATATTAAAAGAAAAACTCCATTCATGAACAATTCATCAGTTTTAAATAGTGCGCTGTTCTGAGTGAGGTGATGAACTCTCAGGAGGTCCTGCTCCTCCACAGGTACAGGAATCATCCCCTCGTCCAGTGTGACCACGCTTTCTGTGCAGCCTGCCTGCGAGCCACTCAGTGGCCAGCCACGTGGCCAGCACGGGACGACAGCGGTGTCGCCAGGCTGGAGGTCACGCTCAGCGGCGGCTGAAGGGGGCATCGCGATGCCTGTGCCCTCACCTCGCCACAACTGCCACATCTCACCGCGGGCACCACAGGGAGAGCACCGTGCCACAAGGTATTCTGAGAGAGACCACATTCATGTAACTTTTATGACAGCACACCGTTACAGCCGTTCTATTATTAATTATTGCTGTCATCTCCTACCGGGCTTATTTACAAATTAAAGTTCATCACTAGTATGCAAGTGTGGAAACACACAGGCTCTGCGTGGGAGGCTCAGGCATCCCCCAGGAGAGTTGAGCCAGCTCCACAGCTATGAGGGCACAAGTGCAGGTCGGTCCCCAACGCCACCCATCCTCTCAGCAACTGACTGGAATCAGGGAGAACAGAGGCACTGGACCCACTGCCAGCCACCTGAACCACCCGACCCCACCGCCCCACATTTAAGGGAAGTCCCGTGACAGCAGCAGGTTAATTCTGCATGTTTCTCACTAGAAATCTACACGTAGCAGAAACTCTCATCCACTTCCTCCTCCATCACAGCTTCCTGTTCCACGCACTTCAGAAAGGAGAAGTGCGGGGCAGCCCTGGCCGGGTGGGGGCACCGCTGCAGAGCTAGCAGAGGGGGCCTCGTATCCACACAGGCAGCTGCAAGCTGACATTGCTCCGAGAGGCCAGGCCCCACAGGGGCTGCCAGTGTCCTGCGGCTCCAGCCCAGAGTCCCTGAGTCTGCCCTTTCTGTGGCCTGAACCAGACAGTGCCAGGAGAGGCCTGGGGGCGCGTCCAGGCCCCACACAGGTCAGCGGATCCGCGAGAAGACAGCTCGGGAAGCAGCCTGGGAAGCCACAGAGCCCACATGGCACCCGCAGGGCCTTGCCTCCTGACCCCACGGTAGGGGAGGGTGGGGAGGAGGGCCTCAGACAGCCTCAGGGAGAACTGCTCGTGCCTCAGCCGTGACTCATCACAGCGACACACTGATGTCACACCCACGGAAAAACACGAGATGCGCAGCTTGTTCCACGTCAGTGCTGGCGGACTTCTTTCAGAGTCTTGTTCTGTTGCCAGGTTGGAGTGCACAGGCAGGAC